TATTAATTTGACTGTTTTCATCATGACAAAACCTCTGTTTAAGAAAAAAATCAGCAATATTGCCAGTCCCACAAGGCACACCATAGAAAACAACCCCCCCAATTAATAGTACTCAATCTTGTTACTAATAAAACAAACACACCCAGAGGGTACTACTCATTTCAGCAAACATTGGCACAAATACCTCAAAGAAAATACTACATTTTCTAATGGTGCCAATGTTTCTTCTTCACCCTTTCTATTATTTCTTTTCAGCTATTTCTCTTTCTTCTTTCCTATCAGTTCATTGTCATGAAGTAATGGGCTGGCACTCTCAGAATTTTCAAAGCAAGTCTCCATAGTAATCACCTAAATTCTTTTAAATTCACTTAAATTCTAGCAGCAGCAGACATCAGCTTGCAGTCACAGGAGAGAGGCTCACAGAATTGCAGTTACAAACCCTTCAACATTTTGGAATGAATAGCAAAACAATCCCCATGGAGAAAATGTGATAATGGAGCTATAACATGATGGCATCAGGCTCTTAAAACATTTCTCCTCAAAGCTCTATTGTATGCATGATTTACTTTGAGCATAGGGATATCTGGAAGCCACATCAAAGACCTAATGGATAGACATTTTGTTAACATATGTAGAACTGATGCCAGGCCATAAAACAACACTGTACTGAGAATTACACATCTTCAGAAAAGTCTGGCTGTGGGGTTTTTTTTATATTCCTGGGCTTGGGATGGGGTTTGGTTTTTTTTTTGGTCTACAAATTATTTCTTCCATTATGTGCATGAATGCCTAACAGGCTCAGAAGTCTGGACAATTTTCATGTTCTCTTGTTCCCTGGATCTTTGCCCAGTATCACAAAATCTGAGAGAGGGATGATTTTTGAAACAGGGAAAGGAAGAAGAATGAAAAAGTAAATAAGCTGCTATTTCCTTTGCAGAGCAAGTTCTGTTACATCAATCATGGATTGGTAAAGAACTTCACAATCCATTACCTTAGCATCTCTGTTTCTCAGGTCATCCCTAGGATGCCACTTTCAGAGTGCTGTCCAGCCTTGACTCTGAGCTACAGTACATTTTTCAATGGTCTTTCATGCCTGTGGTGTCGAATATATAGTCTCTTTTCATATGGTACATACTGTAGATTACGCATTCCATAAAAACAGGAGGCAAAAAAGCTTTGTAGAGTGAATTCCTGGAACAACTCTTCAGGATTCTGAAAAAGCCAGTTATGAGCTCCTCTGTTTCTGCTCTAAAGTACTTATGCTTGATCACAGAATAATGAACAACCATTAAATTTATGTACTTTGTAGGGCATTTAGGAAAGAGTTTTTCCATCACGTAGTAACCATAGGATAAGTAAAACAGCACTGCACACCAAGAAATACACAATAGAGAAAGACACTGAAAGTCAGGATTATAGAAGAGTTATATCTTTATCTGCTTTGATACCTGTTCAGTTAATCAAGTATTTTGTGGTTCTGTGTTTGGCACATTAGGTACACTCAAGCCAGATTAACAACAAACAACTGCTATTTATAGCATTTCCCAGAGACGGGAACAGTTGCTGCTGCACTTTAAGACCAATCATGTTACATCTGTATTAAAATGAGAAGACAAACATGTTTTACTGCCAGCTCTGCCTGAATTTCAAATGAAAACCACATTAGTTAGCTTGCGAATTTCTCAGTCAGCCAGTCTCCAGTGTCAACTTACGGTTTAAATAAAGCATCTTACCAATACACAATACAGTACAAAAAGATGCTGACAGCATGGACCTAGGTGCAGCAGCATGCTTCAAATACTCCTCCAAGAAAAAAGTTGGGAATGGACTGCAAATGTCTCTAACCTGCAATAGCCTGAACCTCAGCAGGTTCTGCTACCATACCTTTCTCATTTCACAAACTCTTTGGCTCAACTGTCAGCAATCATACAAGCTTAAATATGTTAAGGTCCACAACCCACAGGTTTTCTACTCTCGCTGCTGTCCTAAGCACTGTGAGAATGGGATGCCAAGCTCAGAAAGGCTACCAGGTCATCAAGTCATATCATGTTTGGTCCCACTGCTTCCCATCTATTTAAATGAAGAAAAAGTTGATCTTGAATTCATTATCTTAGAGGCATAGGCTCACCGCCTTTGAGAACCTACAGGTAATCATGCTTCTGCAGGCACTAAATGAGGACCTTGAGACTGATGAGGATGGTGGATGTCTCTGTCCAGAACACACACAGTCATGCCTGCTGTGACACTAGCAAGGGTCTTGTCTGGGAAGAGCAGCCCTTCCCTAAACTTAGAAGGAATAATAGAAACATAAACAAACAGAGACATTGGTGAGACATTGAACTTTACTAACAGCATGACAAAATCCATTTCCTTTATCTGTCCATATGCTTTCTACACCACCTGAAAATTTGGTACTTCAAAGTTGCAACTTGCAGTAAGTTGCACTGTACATTTTTCTTAGTTGAAGCAATTATTGATAAAGCATCTGCTTACTGCCTACTGGCTGGCCAAAGAGGGAGGATACAGCAGAAAGGAAACCTGAGGTATCAGTGGGTTCATTTTTCAAAAATACCTGTATGCATTGGGTACACAGCTGCCACAAAATGCAACAGGACATCTGCACTCATGTCACAGTCTCTTCTGTAGATAAATGTGTCCCTGAGAGCTTGATGCTTCACAAAGCAGTAATCACATTTCTTTTACTGATTTAAATTATTCAGAAACATAAATGTGTTGAAGTTGCTGAAATGTGTTAGGTGCCTAAAATCAGGTTTGCAAGTTTGAGAATTCTGATTATTGGTTTTGATGATATCAAACATTTCTTGCAGCAGCAATGACTTGCAGAACACTAAGCCCAAATTACAGCAAACTTTTAGGAAAATATATCAGAAGTATGTCAACTGCTTTTTTCTGTTTTCCTTAACATTTTTCTAGTTTTACTTCCTGCCCCACCCTTCCCAATTGATATATGCAAGAATCCACAAGAAATTTGGATAAACGACTTAAAAAGGAGGAACTGACCCGGACATGCTATAAAACTTGCCAAAAAATAAAAACCAAAAACCAAAAAACAATCAAACAAACAAACCCAACAAAACGAAAAAAAATCCCTCAGAAAAACCAACACAAAACCCAGCAAAAGAGCTCCACCCCCAATACATAAGAACAAACAATATATTTTTTATTCTTTAAGCATTTTAGTAATAATAATAATATTCAACAGTCCTTGTAACAGATTAAACTTTCAGACAAATATTATTTCAGTTCATGGTGATTATTTTTAATAAACATGTAAAAATCTCATGGGAAGAATTAATGAATTACTTATAAAAATCAAGAAATACATTAATTTCTGGTCAATATATAGATTAACACAAGTACATCTAATGTGCAGTTACACCTAGAACTGAATCACTTCTCAGCAGAATTCTTCAGTATCCTACAGTGACTCTCATTTGCAACTAAGTTCCACGTTTTTGAGCTATAATTTGCTGCAATACCTGTGACCAGTGATGTTTCACAGGATTCAGCCTAATTTCAAACTGTTTTGCTTTATGCCTTTGTCAGAGCAATACCACCCACTGCTGATTTCTCACCCAGAGTTCAGAGATCCAGATTTGCTTTTGTTTCAATTCAAAACTTGCATTGAAATTTTGGCCCATGGAAATGGCACCTTTTTGTTCCCCTGGATCTGTACTGCATATTGAAACCCTTTGGCATAAAAGGCATTGTAAGAGTTTGGGTCTGCAATGTATTTTATTGCCTAAATACCTAGATGGCTCCCATTTTTACCAGAGTAACACAGTGGAATGAGGATGGTAAAGCATCCATTAAGGCTCCAAGAAGAACTGAGTACTAAAAAACCCTAAACATTCACTAGTTTTATTTTTCTGTTTCTTGGTTACATTTTCAAAGTGTGTCTACTACTACTCCCATTAACATCAGCAGGGGGCTTGTAAATAAGCCTTTACCCAGTGTTTCAAAAAAATGAGCTTCTCAGTGGATGAGATCCTAATCCACTTCATTAGTTAAAGAAACAGAGCAGGACAGCAAAGAGAAAATAGTACAGGCAAGCACCTTAACACATCTTTGAAGTCTACATTTGAACACTTCACAACCTGAACTGTCAAATTCTGCAATGCACCAAACACAGCTCAGGAAAGAGAGCCTATTAACTGGTTAGAAGAATGGTTAAAAATGCAGATAATATAAAATTAAAGTAACTGTACTGAAATTTAGAAGCTGCAGCATTTAACTTGGTAAATATCCATTTCATGAAGCTAGATTCACAGGTGATGGTATGTAAACCAATCAGCCATGAGGGCAGTTACTTTTTCCCTGTCCAGTGATCAAGCTTCTGAAACTTTACATGCATGCTTACACTGAAGATCTCTGGATATCACAAGCCAGAGCTCAGAACTACCATCCAGATATGTAGCAAGAGCTATGCCTAGGTTCAAAGGATGGTCATTCTTACTTTCCACTGAAGTTAGAAAACTACAATGTTTAAACAAGAATTGTGGCTCAGTAGATGTTGTCTAGCAGCAATTTCTAGTACCGCTGTAATTGAGGCTGCATCAGCATTTTCACAGTAAACCATACTGCCAGAAAAGTCATTGCATGTTGTAAGCTGACAAAGACCTCATACCAAGCACACATACTTCAGTACCACAAATTACATTTGTATGATTTTTAGCTAGGAAGTTGGAAGAAAAGAAAAAGCAAGAAGAAAAGTCTTCAAATGGAAAACAACAATTTAGGATTAACTAATGTGCAAACAGAATTTGCAGATACTTTTTAGTGCAGATGGTTTATTCCTCCAAACACACATGCAACACCTGTTAAATGTAGCAATGAATCCTGCTGCCTGGAAAAAGACTGAGATGCCTGAAATGTAGAAGAGCAAGTGAATAGAAGTTACTTGTTTCAGGGATTTCTTAGGAAGGGCTGTTCTTGGGTTTGTTTTTTAATATTTTTAAAGAACAAAATACCTCACTCACCTGCTCAGGGTACTTGTGTCCAACTATCTCTGCCACAGTGTTAAAAGAAGGAGAGTCTGGATAGGTCTTGGCTCCCATCTTCAGGTGCACAACAATTTTAGTGCCCCGGAAAGACATTCGCGACATCATTTCAGCATCTTCCACAGAGATGCAAGCAGTGGGAATTTGGGGCACATCAGGCTGGTAATTCTGGCCCCCGGTGTGTGGGCTGTTAAAAGAAAAACAGTGTTAACAACTTAGCTCTGTGATTTTTTTTTTAACACTATCATTGACTTCTTTAAGAGAATACATTCACAACCATCCCCAGCAGACTCTAAAAACAGATATATTTACTATTCTTACTAAACCTTTTGATAAAACACATCAACTGTTTTTACACTAGTCAGAACATCTGACTGTTACCATTCTATATGTATGGAAAACTATTCTATGTGAGCTCTATTTAGGTCATTGCCATTCTTTGACATGCTCTGATACTCCACTTTCTTCACAGTATTATCAGGAAGAAACGCAAAGCAAAGTCCACAAGCAAACAGTTTGCAATAAATGCTTTTATTTCCCCCTGTGACACATAATGAAATTAAAATTCATTAATAAATTTTAATGCTATTTTCCATATAACAGGATTGCAGCACAGTTGAGGTTGGCAGGGACCTTTGGAGGTCATCTGGACCAACCCCCTGCTTGAATGGGGCCACCCAGAGCAACCTGCCCAGAACCATGTCCAGTACATGAAAATCTTGAGCTATGAGCCTTCTTACAGTAGCAGACACATTTTTTAATGTATTTAAACAAACAAACAAAAAAAATTAGTAACTTGGAGTATTCTTAGGTCTTCTAAACTGGAAAAAAAACCTCACTTAATTCCTGGAGGAGATGTGGTGAGGATGAAGGGAGAAATCTTACTTTGTAAGGTTATAGATTCAGTTCCATTTGTTTACAAGAATAAATCCTTCCCAATAATAACAAGTCATACTGTAATCAATAAAATAACCCACAGAGTAGATATGTATAAATATTTATTTGGCATGAAAATATTAAAAAACTGTTACAGAGGTCTTAGAGGAGCTGCTTCAGAGTATAGACAGATCTGTTTATTAGGTGGCAACAGTACAGAAGACTATTGCTCCCAGTTGTTTACAGCATATGAAGGCTGGTGCCTCTTCTCATGAGCTCTGCAGGTCGTGTGACCCACAGCTCACCTTTGAAATAACAGTTACCCTGGTACTCAGAATCTCTTGTGCCATATAATCCTCCCTCAGTGGGATAAACTCACGTACACCTAGATGTTCAGATCTTTTTTTTCTTTTTCTTTCCCTTTGTCCTTGTAGGGGGGGAAAAAAAGGCACCCCTCATCACCACTTTTAAACTGTGATAATTTGCTGCACATGTTTAATATTTCTCTGAGTGCTTGGGGATATACCCAGCATGTTAACCAGGAGACTTTCCAAAGAATAAACAACATACACAAAAAGGAGCAATGACAATTTCATGTATAAATATTCATAAAAACACCCTTACATTCAACAACTGAGCAGCAACTGTTTGTTTTGGCTCTTTTTAAATGAATCCATTCACCTGTGTCTTCTGGCAAGATCATGTTTTAGTACTAACATGCTGTGTATGCTGAATTGCAGTAATTCAAGTTTTATCACTGATTTCACTGTCCTTGTTATTTCCCAGATGCTCAGCAAAAGAAACCCCTAGAACTGTATTTGTTTCTCCAATATAAGCAGCAACTACATTTCTTTCAGATGCTCAATCCTAACATTCCACCACGACTGTGAATATAAAGCTTCTGAGAGCCCACTGAGATGCCACATGCTTATACACCCCAAATGAATGAACACTTGCAGGTACAAAATTTACCCAGCCAGCCACAAAATAAACCTTGAAGTCACCTGGTAGTGCCATTTTTATTCTCAACCTACTATTTTATTGTACAGGCAAACCCAGCTACAGAAATTAAGACATAGTGGCACAGGCAGGCAGAGTCAGCAACGGTCCACATGATACTAGGTCTTGATGGGAATGGATGACAGTCCAAATGATTGCTACAAAAGGGAAATGGACCTTAAGAATTACCAATATAAAGACAGAAAACTATATCCCAGTACTGTATATTCCTGATGCTACAAGATGAACACACATATAAAACTTTTGTGGCAGACACTAAGCATTCTGGGATGCACCTGATTTAAGTTTGCATGCATACAAAACATGCCATATGTATATAATCTACATAATAAATTGATTGTTAAAGTGTCAAAGAGTATATAAAAAAAATCTAAGTAAATTAATCCCCTTTTATGCAGAGATAACCAAGAACTGGAAAGGCTACTGACCATATGGCAAGACGTGAGCAAGAATTGACTAAACAAAATAGAAATTACTAGCAGACTGTGTGTAACAAATGGAGAGAAGCAGTCCTGAGTTTGGCTCAAAACAGGGCAAAGAGGATGTAGTTCAGAAGAAAAAACTTTGGTACTGAGGAGAAAAGAAGGTTTTTTTCCTATTAGGTCTGAACAAACATTACTTTGTGGTTATTATTTCTAAAGAACAAGGATTACACTACAAAAAAGTAATCTGACTTGCATTTGCCATTCCCTGCCCCTTGAAAAGGGAAAGAAAGAAAAATATCACATGAAACCAGCCAGGGAGATGACAAAGCAGCCCTGACTCAGAATCAGCATTCATCTTTACAACATTGGTACCTAGAGGCAGGCAAGGAGCACCACTGCTGTTTCCCACTAACACCTGGGAATTCTGTCAGCTGCTGCTGCTTCAAACTCCCTGAAAAATGTCATCCAACAAATCCTGAATTCGTTTTACAAAATTGTAAAGGTACTTAGCCATTTAATATATAATGTTCTCATAGTCCAATACCATAGTTTGATGTTCAGTAGAGGAGAAAGGGTGGATAGTTTTTTCATTATTTTTTATTTACTTAACAAAAGCACCTATTCCGATTTTACATCTACTGAATCACCTCATCTCCACATTTAAACTACTTATAAAATTGAACATATCTAGCTAGATTAATCCTTATAAACCTATTAATGTTAATACTCATCGTCATTTGGTCCTGACATTCTTGTTCAACAGCTGACAAGAATCAGATAAATACGGCGGTTGAGTTTTGCTTTTGATAAACCCCTGATATCACATCCTGGAAAGTGTTTAAAAGAAATATCACAGCATGAAGAACAAAGCAGGAAAAAAAAAGTAGCATTTTCTCTCTTAGAAGTGCATGTCAAATGACTAGTAAAAAAGAGACGTGCCTTCTATTTTACAGGGAAGTGTAAAGGAAGGCTAAAAACCTCAAGAGGCATCTAGATCCTTTCTCCTCTGAGTAAAATAATCAAATGTGGAAAAACTAAAAAACGTGGATGAAAAGATGTGCTGCTGGTGTGTCAGGTCAGTTCCAACTCTTGTTACTGTGGTAGCTGACCTTGCATGCTTCATTACTTTGTTCCTGCACTTCCACCCCTTATCTCTAAGATAAGCTAAAATGTGCAAGGAAAAATAAACTGCGTAAGAACCAGTGCTTCAAGCTCAACTGGGTGCTCTGATGGAAAACACATCACAAGTTGAAGCCTCAGGCAGATAGCAATCTCCTAAAGGGAGAAGTAAGCATGACATTACAAGAACTCTAAGATGGCTAAAAAAAAAAAAAAAAGAAAAAACCAAAACCATGAAAAATGTACAGAGATCTATTTTAGCCATAATGTGTATACATACCCCCCAACACACCATTCTTCACCCCTACCTCAAAAAGCAATCTAGGGTTGGGAAATACAAAATGAATATTGTCTAAGTATCTTTAATTTACTCACTCAAACACATTGCAAGAATCCAATTACATACATGACCACTGTTTTCTACAGGACCCGTGCAATATTCACTGTACAAACCACATATAAACTAAACATTCATATCAGATAAGCTAGTTTGTTATTAATGACTGAAATCATAGAACACACACACAAGTATATTATGATCACTCGCTATTCCATAGCAAGATCACAGCCTTAACTCTTGGTAATAGGCTCACATCCTCCTCACACTTTGCTTTTGGTTTTTTTCACTTGTATATTCTACATATCACAGAATATCCCCTAACATACAAAGCTTTACACTTTAAAAGGAGTGATGGAACATACTGTAGCAAAACAGAAGGGAAACTATATATCTTGCTCTCGGACTTAGCTATGGAGAATAGCAATTCATGAGTGCCTTACTCCTGTAACTGTCTTAATCAGGAGCAGCATGGCAAGGCTTTAACTCCGTTCAAGTAAATCCCCTTTTCCAGCACCATAAAGTCCATACAAAACAAAACTTGTCCTTGTGTGCACTCAAACTGTGTACGTTCTTTCAAGATTCTCACCATTTTCTGGATAGAGAGGCCAAACTGTAGTTGCAATTAGACAAAATGTCAAAAGTATTGTTAATCTTCTCAGAAGAATTAGGTCTACAAAAACAAAATGAAGGCTATTCCCTATTTACAGCCACTTGGCAAAATATAAAAGAAATAAATTCAGACGAATTTTGCATTTCTGTCATCATTTGTCCCAAGATTCTTTTGCTTTGTTTGCTTCTTATATTGTCTTTGTAGGATTTGATTTGTTGGTTTACAGTAAGTTGAAACGATATCAAGACTGTTAAATTCAAAACAAAACAGGAATTCACACAGACATTTGTAAGAAACTAAGGAGTAAAAACACAATACAAATATGGGATTAAATAATATAGCAGTCTGTTACCAAGGCAATATTTGGAATCTATCCATACAGTCTCTTCCAGATTACTTTGTACCAATCTTTAATTGATGTTGCATCTGCACATGTGTAATGAAATGTAAGAGAGGCTCCAGAAACTACCAGCCTTACCAAGGAAAATTCCCTTTGAAAAAGAGCACAGCATTAGGCTGTTACCACACAGACTCCATTTAAATTAACATTTAGAAAACTGCATTTAATCAGTACTAGGCACTCATTAGAATTAGGCTTTACCAAGCAAGCATAATAGCTTTGCCATAATTACATATGTCCTGGGTTACAGAATGCAACTAACGTGTCTATGTTTGTATTTCATTATAATATTCAGTACCACAAGCACCAAGAGAATTCTATGGTAATCACTGAAGTTTTTTTAAAGTAGCATACGTTAGATATGGTTTGTCAAACAAGAAGCAGAAAACAACTGTGA